CCCTTTACCACAGTTAACACTTGTCTACTATCTAGGTATCTTGAGTTTTTATAACAGTGATCTCATACAATATTTGTCCTTTTGTGATTGACTTATTTCCCTCAGCATAATGCCCTCCAGATTCATCCATGTTGTGAGATGTTTTATGGGTTCATCATTGTTCTTTATCATTACGTAGCATTCCTTTGTGTGTATGTACTATAATTTGTTTATCCATTCTTCTGTTGATGGGCACTTCGGTTGTTTCCATCATTTTGCTGTTGTGATTAATGCTGCAGTGAACATGGATGTGCATATGTCTATTCGTGTGACGGCTTTTATTTCTCTAGGATATATTCCTAAGAGTGGGATTGGTGGATCATATGGTATTTTTTTATTTCTAGCTTTTTAAGGAAGCCCCATTTTATTTTCCATAGTGGTTGTTCCATTTTATGTTCCAACCAGCAGTGATAAGAGTTCTAATCTCACTGCAACCTCTTCAACGTTTGTTATTTTCTGTTTTTTAATTCGTGCCAGTAGTTGGGGTGAGATAGTATCTCATTGTAGTTTTGGTTTGCATTTCTCTAATGGCTGATGATTGTGAACATTTCGTCATGTGTCCATTAGCCACCTGAATGTCTTCTTTGGTGAAGTGTCTATTCATATCCTTTGCCCATTTTTTAATTGGGTTGTTTGTCTTTTTGTAGTTGAGGTGTTGAAGTGTTCTGTAGATTGTAGATATAGACCTTCGTCGGATATGTCATAGCCAAAGTTTTTTTCCCAGTCTGTAGGTTGTCATTTTATTCTTTTGGTGAAGTCTTTTGATGAGCATAAGTGTTTAATTTTTAGGTGCTCCCAGTTATCTAGCTGATCTTCTGGTGTTTGTGTATTTTTAGTTATGGTTTGTATTCTGTTTATGCCATATATTAGGCCCCCTAGTGTTGTCCCTATTTTTTCTTCCATTATCTTTATTGTTTTGAGTTTCATGTTTAGGCCTTTGATCCGTTTTGAGTTAGTTTTTGTGCATGGTGTAAGGTATGGTTCCTGTTTCATTATTTTTTACAGATGGACATGGGTTTTGCCAGCACCTTTGTTAAAAAGACTATCTTTTCCCCATTTAATGGACTTTCGGCCCTTGTCAAAAATCAGCTGACCATAGGCGGATGGATTTACATCTGAGTTCTCGATTCAATTCCGTTAGTCTGTGTGTCTGTTGTTGTACCAGTACCAGGCTGTTTTGACTACCTTGGCTGTATAGTAGATTCTTAGATCAGGTAGTGTGAGGCCTCCTATTTTGTTCTTTTTTCTTCAATCTGCTTTGCTTATCTGGGACCTCTTTCCTTTTCATGTAAAGTTGGTTATTAGTTCTTCTTTCTCGTTAAAGAATGCTGTCAGTATTTGATTGGGATTGCTTGATATCTGTAGATCACTTTGGGTAGATTGACATTTTCACAATGTTGAGTCTTCCTATCATGAGCAATAGTATGTTTTTCAATTTATGTAGATCTCTTTTGGTTTCTTGCAGTAGTGTTTTGTAGTTTTCTTGGTATAAACCAGAAAAAAACCAAATCCATTGCCATTGAGTCGATTCTGGCTCATAGCGACCCGACAGGACAAAGTAGAACTGCCCCATAGGGTTTCCAAGGAGCAGCTGGTGGATTTGAACTGCCAGCCTTTTGATTAACAGCCAAGCTCTTAACAACTGTGCCACCAGGACTCCTTTCTTTGTATACCAAAAAACAAAAAGAAACCAAACCCATTGCCATCAAGTCGATTCTGATTCATACTGACCCTGTAGATCAGAGTAAAACTGCGACATAGGGTTTCCAAGGAGCGACTGGTGGATTCAAACTGCCGAACTTTTGGTTAGCAGCCATAGCTCTTAACCACTGCGCCACCAGGGCTCTTTGTATAGCAGGCTATAATCTTTATAGAAGCAGATTGCCAGGTCTTTCTCCTGCAGAGCTGCTGGTGGGCTCAAACTGCTAACCTTTCAGTTAGCAGGGAACTGGGTGACAGAATATAGATAAATAAAATATCAACACCAAAGACATGTGTTCATACTCTTTTGTTTGCAAGTAGCAGAAACCAATAAGCAAGCTAATCTAGCAAAATATTTTAAAAAGAGGTAGCGGAAGAATTTAGGATACTAGAATATTTCTCAGAATCCAAAGAACAAACGACTAAGCTTTAGGAAAAGCAGGCCTTCAGTAGTATGAGCTTAAGCACCTTCTCTCGAGTGCTGCCATGAACATGCCCTTCCACTGATTTCCAGTGTGACTCCTTAGTTGAAAACTCTAGTTCCAGAGGGAGAGAAAGAACCAAAAGCTATTGCTCAGACTGTTCGTACCACCATCAGTGACAGCCCCCTCTTCTCCCAGTCTAAATCTTACCTCTTTTCAAGGTCTATCCAGCACAGATAACATTTTAGCACCTTTATTTTTGCTTTCTCTACATAACTCTTCTTGATCCCCAGCTGGAGATAATCTCTTTTTTTCTTCTCCTTTTTGATCCTAATACTCTCTGTCTCCTCTTACAACCCTTAACAAATGTTCCACTTTGTCCAGTAGAATCCCACATGGACCATGTGGAAGGATCAGTAGTTGATCAGTTAGATTAAAAGTAGGGAGTCATAAAAAGTGGTATCAATATACATTTCTTCATACCTTAAATATTTTATCTTAAACCTTAAATGTGCGTTAAGTCACCAGTATACATGTAGGACGAGTATGGGATGCCGATTGAACATTTGCTTTCTCTCTCTCTCTTTTTTTTTTTAATAATTAAACTGTAATTTGGTTAAGATTTTTAATTTTGGTTTCTTTTAAAAGGAGCAAGAATTTAGACACTGTGAAACAGTATGAATGTATAATCCTTCCTGACTTTGTGCTTTTCCCTTGGTCTTTGGCAGTTATCTCACCCATATCTAATTTGACAGGTTTTTTTTTTTTTTTTAAGCAACTCACCTTTATATCAGGTCTTACCAAAGCATTCAACCTAGTTTTCATAGTAACATCTCTTTTCCCCCATACTCG